TTTTTTTTTTAAGACATTTGGACATGAAGAGGCAACAAGTTTTCTCCCTGTTTCCAAAATTGAAAGTTGTCTTCAAAGAAAAACAGCAGTACAGTTTAGTGTTTCTTACTGAGTTACAGTTTGTGCCATGGAGGATGTAACAGGGTTAGTTATGTGCCTGAACTGAGTTCACTGAATTCCCAGAGTGCTGTCATAACTTATGCTGGATCGAAGTAAATAACTTCTTTGGATACCACCAATAGCTGTCAAAGTGTTGAGATATGAAGATAAAGTCTAATTACTTTGAAAGAGAGGACTTCTCAGATTTTCATGCAGTCTGTAGGGGAATTCTGTCCTGTAGTTCTTCTGTCTCCTTGTTAAGTTGTGGTGAATAACTTGGGGATCCTTTACTTTCACACTTCGTTGGTTTGCAAAAAATAAAGCATAAGCATCTGCCTTTCTGGCAAGTAGGTGTAATAAGAGTATTAGACTTAGCTGATGTTATGCTGAATTATATCAATGAAAGTTTTTAAGAAAATGCTATGTTTTAAATGGCATTTTCATCAGATATGTTGTCCTCTGATTTTTCTCAGTAGGGAGCTCCTGTGGTATCACAGAGGGCACCAAGTGCCAAGAGAGATGAAAATACTCATCAGTTATTCCAGCCTTATTCTACTGAAGTGGAGATGACTTAATAGTTAACTAACTTTCATTTAAAACTAAGCAGTCAAAAAATCCCTACCATTCTTTCAAATCTGGAAGTGATACACTGCTACTTTTCTGGTTAGAGCAACTCTGCCATCTCTTTTTTATATCATTCATAATTATTGGCAGTAGTGAAGTTGCAATCAAATATTGCACTGATGTAGTACCAAAACCAATAAGTAGTATTCTTTACTAAATGATAGAGGAATATACATTCAAGACTGCCTAAATTTGGGCAGGGTTTGGTTGTGGCAGTATGGCTATCTTTGACATGTTTTATGCATCCATCACATGAAATACTTAATGCTACTTGCTTCTGAGTAATATTTGCTAATACAGTTCTCATTTTGCTGTTAAGAACTTAATTCACACTGGTGCAAAGGAAAGGACTTTTTTTTTTTTTATCAGTGCAGCTTTGCATCTATAAGAAAACTTGGCTGAGCTCTGTGTTCTGGAATGCAATAATTGTCAATTTCTTTTCAGTATGGGACAGTGAGTAAGGTGTCATTTTCAGACATATTTTGAAGGATTATTATCAAGCTGCAGACATTTTAGTATGAAGTAAAAGCAGATATACAAAAAAGCCATCAAAACACTCTTCCCAATAAAGAGAACAGAAAAATAAAGGAAACAACAACAGCAAAAAAAACCCTGTTTCTATTTTGCAATTTATTAAGTAGGTAAAATAGGAGAATGCATCTTCCAGAAACTTATTATTAATGCTAGGTACACTGCAGTGAATTGCCTGTTTTTGTTTGTGTGGTTTTTTTTTTTTTTTTCTTTTTTTTTACATGTTATGAATGTTTATGGTTGTATTACTAAAAAGCTTTATGAGAATTCTAGGTGTTTGATGTGATTTAGTTCTAACACTGTAGTGGAAGTTGAGATGCCCAACTCAAGAAAAACTGAGTCAGTTATATATTACATAATAAATAATTATGATCTAATAACCAGACCTGACACTGACCTGCTCTGTTAATCAAACATGTTAAATGTTTAAACAGAAAGCGTTTCACAGGGTGCAGTAATTATCTCTGTCACTGGAAAGTTGATGGAACAGCTTGTTCTGGATATCCTCTCCAAGCCATTGGGAGGGAAGTTTGTCAGGAGTATTCAGCGTGGATTCACCAAGCGGAGGTCATGCTTGACCAACCTGGCAGCCTTCTATGTCTGGCTGGGGAGAGCAGTGGATATTTTGTACCTTGCTTTAGCAAGGCGTTTGACACAGTGTCTCCACAACATCCATGTTACCAAACTTAGAAAGTGTGGGATAGATGGGTGGATGACAAGGTGGATTGAGAACTGGCTGACTGGCAGAGCTCAGGGTTGCCATCAGTGGTGCAGAGTCTGGTTGCAGACCTGTAACTAGCAGTGTTCCCAGGGGTTAGTGCTGGGTCTGTTCTTGTTCAGCATCTTCATCAGTGACCTGAATGAAGAGGGAGTGTCCACCTCAGCAGGTCTGCTGATGATATAAAGCTGGGAGGAGTAACTGACACACCAGAAGGCTGTGCTACCATTCAACAAGACCTGGATGAACTGAAGAGTTGGGCAGGGAGGAATCTGAGGTTTAACAGCAGCAAGAGTAGAGTCTTGCATCTGGGGAGGAATAACTACATGCATCAGTACAGGTTATGGGCTGATCTGCTGGAGAGGAACTCTGGAGAAGGATGTGGGTGTTCTGGAGGACAACAGGTTGACCATCAGGCAGCATTGTGTCCCTGTGACCAAGAATGCCAACGGTATCCTGGAGAGCATTAAAAAGAGCGGGGCCAGGAGGATGAGGGAGGTGATCCTTCCACTGTACTCTGCCCTGGTGAGGCCATGGTTAGATTACTGTGCCTGGTTCTGGGCTTTACAGTTCAAAAAAGACAGGAATCTCCCATGTGAGGATACACTGAATAACACGGATCTGTTCAGCCTGGGGAGAACAAGACAGAGAGGGATCTGATAAATGTTTATCTAAAGGGAGGTGGGAGGCTAATGGATGAGGCCAGCTCTTCTCGGTGGTTTGTAGTGGTATGACAAAGGGCGGTGGCCTAAAACTTGAACAAAGGAAAATCCATACAAACATGTAGAAGAACTTCTTTATGATAAGGGGTGACAGAGCATTGGAGCAGGTTGCCCAGAGAGATTGTAGAGTCTCCTTCTATGGAGATATTCAGGACCTGTCTGGATGCCCACCTGTGTGGCCTGTTGTAGGCTTTAGCAGGGTGATCGGACTTGATGATCACTTGAGGTCCCTTCCAACTCCTGCAATTCTGTGATTCATATCCTGTAATGATAATATTTATCAGCAAAATTCTTCCTGAGTAGAAGAGTGTAATAGGGTGATTTGCTTTAAAAAAAAAATAAATGATTTGAATAAAAATATTACATCAGAATAAAGATTACATAGATCTTGTCTACTCCAGTAAGACTTGCTCATTAATCTGTCACATTGTGGAAATGCGTAGTACTTATTAGCAGTTCTTAGAGGTTAGTGATCACTGCTCTTGTCCACGTTTGTGTAAAGTACTGCTCAGAATCTGAGAGCTATTGCTGCTCTGTAATTAGTATATGTTTATCAAAACCATGTCTTTTACTTGGACATTAGGAGAGAGCGTAAACCAGTCTTAGGCCGAAGTTGACAGTTGCTTTATTCCATAGCAGTGTAACTGTACAGTGTAGTAGCTTCTGTTGGTGATAAGTCATTGTGTTGTGTATTGGAAGAAAGGAAATCTATTACATTAATTGCGGCGCTAGGGAGGCTGTGGGACAATTCTTGTCTGACAAATAGCTCAAAGCTGGATTCAGACTATTATGTTACATATTTTGTTTAACCTACTAGGCAGAACATTTCAAATAGATTCATTATACAGTAATGAAAGTACAAAATATTTTATTAGTCTTCTATTTAAGTCAGAACACACCTCTAGAAGTTATCAGTTTCAGTCCTTGGCTCAAAATCGAGCGAACATCAAAATTATTGAACCTTATCCAGTTGCATCTTGAAGATCTGCAAGACTAAGTTTCTACTTCCTGTACAGTATGTTCCAGTGCTTAACAACTTCCCCTGGGATAGTCCCATTTTCACAACACCCTACCCACATCTCTAGAGTAACACATGCTCCTCCTATTCGCTACATGTCTTTTTGTTGTTGAGAAGTTTGGTTCTGAATTCAGCTGTCTTAAGTGGCTTTATGGAGAAGAAAGCAATTAGATACCTCCAGCAGTCTTTTCAAGATTAAATAGCCTTCTTCTTGTAGCTTATCCTTTAATGCCGTATAAACCAGTTCCTTATTCGTGTAAGTGATATGCTACTGTTTTAGTCTTGTTAATCTCATTTTTGGGATGCTGAGGGGAAGAACAAGAGGTGCTGAGATACAGCCTCATGGATGCTGACAGCTCAGTTGTCTAACTTCTTGAGGATTTCTTGAACAAGCGAACACCTTTGCTCTTCCAACACTTAGACTGCTTCCTGGCCTCTAAAACTGATGTTGCCTTAATTTAATGACTTAATGCAGGAGTATTCTGTCCTGATTTTCAGATCAACAAAGAAGATGTTAAATAGCGTTAAACAAATATTGGCTTCTGAAGATTACCTCTTGTAATTAGCTTGCGGTTGGGTTGTCTGCTAACCTTTACATCTGATCATCTAGACAGTGTTTTAGACATCTTGAAATCATTCTTTATTCAATGTGGTACAAGAATACTACTGTAGATGATATTGAAGGACTTGGTAGAGGAACAATAAATGATATAATTGCTGTTCTGCATCCACAGAGCCAGCTGTTTCCCCATCAAAGCATTACCAAGTAATGTACAGTTGGTAAAGCCTTGCTCGTTCTTGCCAGTCACATTCTTGCCCTTTGAGGACATGGAAATGACTTCCAGGAATATTTGCTCTGTCAAATCTGCTCTATCAAGTCCGAGGAACAAGGTGGAGCTGGCAGCCCCCCCCCCCCCCCCCCCTTTTTTTTTTTTAAGTTGAATACAGCATTTAGCAGTGTCTTCTTATGGTCACAGTGACCTCTACAATGTTAGAGAGTTTTCTTTAGTCATATTGGAATTGGACAACTGGCAATCTTTATGCTTTTAGAAATGCCAACAGGCTGTCTGAAGTTTATTGCTCTCATGCACAAAAGGAAGAACAGAGGCTTTGCAGAGTTGAGTGATTTCTTGTCAAAATACCTCAGTTTTGAAACTTAGCTAGAAGCATTTAGGATTTTATGTTAAAAATAATTTGTGATGTGTTTGGAACAGTTGAAGTTCTTTGTATTGATTAGGTAATTTAAGTGTAGAAACAAAAATGTAATGAATTTCCATTTATTTTTCAGGAGCTGGTGAATCAGGGAAAAGCACAATTGTCAAACAAATGAAGTAAGTATTGTAATATACAATCATAAAGAGATATTTTTTTTTTATTTGAATAGAGAATTTATTTTTTTTCCTTCCGTAGGATTATCCATGAAGCTGGTTATTCAGAAGAAGAATGTAAACAGTACAAAGCTGTTGTCTACAGTAACACCATTCAGTCAATTATTGCTATCATTAGAGCAATGGGGAGGTTGAAGATAGACTTTGGTGATCCAACCAGGGCTGTGAGTATTGAAGTAAACATGCACATGTATAGCTGAAATATCCATTCTTTTTCAATTTCTGTCCGTTGTTATTTCCTGGAAAATCTCTTCATATCCAACAGTCCTTGTAGGCTAGAAGGTTTAATAAAGAAGAAATTTCATTCAGTTTTCTATGTGGTGAAGTGCTCTATTGAGCAGTTAACTCTGGATTGATTCATGACAACTATTTTGTTTAGATACAGTCCTCCAAATTCTATGCAAGTCCGAGTAGTAGGGATTTTTTGAAAAATAGTAAGCTCTGTAGTCGTCCTTCTTAATTTTTACTTAGAGGCTGCTATAAGTCCTTCAAAATGAACATCGTTGCTAAAAAAACAAGATTAAACAGGTAGGCATCTAGCTGTTCTCTGCACTTCACAATTGAGTCACCGTCACAGTAGAGCCTAAAATGTTCTCACCTGTAGGCCAGGTCCAGTTTCATACTGACTTCTAGTGTGAATGACTTTACTGTACTCTAAGGCACAGGCATAGTACTGCTGCTGGTACTCAATTTTTTTCATGATAGCACATGAATTAGGGATTTATTCCAAGAAAATAGTTGCCCATTTCCAGGCTTTCTTGTACGTTTTTCATCTCCTTTCATCCACTTATTGGATGTAGTCTGCAGAATTTTTTGCTTATCACTTCACCCTGTACTCTTATTTATGGTGAACCTGATTGTGTCCCTATCAGATCAGGAGGATAGATGCTGTTTGTAAAATGTAGATATGTTTATGTACATATGTTAATTCTGTCTGAAATCTGCTTAATTGTAAATCAACTATGTAGATTGCTTTGAAAGTAATGCCTCCCACTTATTTCCATGGAAACTACAACAGATACAGAGAGCACAATAGCATTATTTGGTAGAGCAAATTCTCATTTACTAAACACTATTTTTCTACAGTCACCATCAGGAGCTGTACTTTTTTTGTCGGCAGTGAACAAGAGGCTGCATTCCACACTTGTAAAAATCTGCATGTTTGTTCATAACGTGAATTGCCTTTCACATTATTGTCACCACTGCTGAACTGCACCACCCACTGCCTGCCTTATTGTACTCACATCCACTGTTTGGTCTCCACAGATGTTCAGCAAGCATCGATGAATGTCAGTGAGTGTAGTTTTTCCACATGGAGGAATTTAGTCACACACCTTTGCTTCATGCACACTTCCATGTCAGACTTCCTCTCCACTACCATCTGTCTCATGGCAACAAAATGTAGCAGGATATGGGTGAGGAAGGATCAACCTCTACTGCCATACCATCACCATCCACCTCTTACATAGTAGGCCAATATAGTAAAATAGGAGGCATTACTTTTGGAGCAGTTCTCTCACTAAAGACTAAATATTTTCAGGGCAGGAGCAGTATGTGAATGCATATCAGTTCATTTGTGCGGTGAATTTCTCTTTGATGTCTGACAGTTAATGTTGGAAAGAGGTGGATGGTGTATTTCTGTTACTAAATACAAAGTAAAAGAAAATGGAGGAGAGAGTAAGTGTAGATTTTATCAGATAAAAGGACTGACAAGAAGATTGTGAAAATGTTTTATGTGTGATATGAATTCAATCTGATTGGAATTTTTCAACTTCAGAGAACTGTATAACTGAATGCAAAACTTCAGTCAGGAATGATAGTGAAATAACTGTCTATTCCATAGCATTTAAGCAGGTCTTGGTGATCTGAATTCTTTTTGCAGAGCAACATTGCTATTGCAAGTAATTATTGGACTTGAAATAATTTCAAAATGAGAAATCAAAAAAGGAATCTAGAGCTTGTGAGTTACAAGTCTGCCTTTCTAAAAATGTATGAGTGTTCTTCATTGTATTAAATATAGGCTTTTAAATTTTATTTGATTTTATTATCATTTCTACAGAAAAAAAAATGCAAAATTGCAATGTCGGGAGGAAAGCTGTTATTCTTTTTTTGAAATTGAATTTTTGGAGATTTTACACTGAATAAAATAAATCTGTTTGGAAAAGTGACTGCTCTTCTCTTGTCAGAATAATGACAAGATAACAAGTTGAATGGTTTTTTTTTTTTTGTGAAACTATGGAATCAGAAGAGCACAAGTTCTAACAGGAACTTTAGTAATGCTCCATCCTAGGATTAGCATACTTTTCTTTATCCTATGGAATATTTCCATACTGGTGCAGAATCCATATTTTCAGAGACATTTAGTGAATATGCTTTATATGAGAATGGACTACCTTCAGTCCATTGAGATTTGCTACAGTTAGCTTCAAAAAAGGCTGAATGAGTTTCTATAATGTAGCTCATTTGTGGAATCCTACATAAAAATAGTGAGTCCTTGAGAGCAAGCAATCCTATTGCAGTATGATTAAAGGAAAGCATCTGGCACTTGTTAATAATGAAAATAGGACTCAGTAATTATGTGCTACCTCATTTGTGGCATCTGTGTACTTGCCTTCTGTAGAAAAGGGATATGGGAGTTAACAGATGCCACCTAACAGAACTTACTTCACTTCCTGCCCCTTCTTGTTACTGCCTCTTACACCCTCCCAATAAAAACAAATACAGTCTTAGAAGGCGTAGAGATTAGAGCTTTTTCAAAAACAATGAGTTTTGTATATTTGAAAGTCAGACTATAGCAGACATGAAATTACATTTTGAGAGTTCGTGACGAGACAGACTCGCAGTTTCTAGTATGTATCTGTTGCTTCTGTCAATTGTATATTGGCGTTTTCATCCAGAAACAACATTCAGTTGCCATTCAGGTTTCTTCTGTGCAAGCATATTGCTTAGGCTACAGTCAGTGAGATCTAATTATCCTGCTTTGTGATCTTCACTGCTCTGTTTTTTATGTAATTATTAGTGCAATCCACTGAATTTCTACTGGCTGCCCATGGTTTACCCAATATATATATATCGTAATCAGCATACTATTCTTATGTTTGGTAAAAATCCATTTTTAGATTTGTAGCTTTCAGTAGATGATATCACTTACCTGTTTGTTCATATGTATGGCTACATGTGCAGTGTTATGGTTTAACCCAGGAGCTAATCACCAAACAGCCATTTGCTCAATCCCCCACCTCCTGTGAGATGAGGTATAGAATTTAAAAAAAAAAAAAAAGGAATTCCTAGGTTGAGATGAAACCTGAGACAGAGAAGGCTGAGAAATTTTTTATATATACACATGCACACATGTATTTACAAAACAAGTCATGCGCAATGCAGTTGCTCATTACCTGCAGACCAGTGTCCAGCTGGTTCACAAGTGGAGGCTGTCTCACCAGGCCAGATTCTCAGTTATGTAGGTTTTTTTGCGTGATGTTACATGGTATGGGATATCCATGTGGCCATTTTAGTCCCCTCCCACCTCTTTTGCTGGGCTTTGTGAGAAACCTAAAGGTCTTTGGCTCTGTACAGCACTGCTCAGCAGCAACTAAAACATTGGTGTGTTATCAACGTTGTTTTTTTCCTAAAGCCAAAATATAGCACCAGACTCTATGAGGAAAGCCAACTCTGTTTCTACTGAAACTGTGACATGTACACACAGGTACAGATAAATATCTTCAAATCTGCCTTGAGTTGACTAGAGCAAGCTTTCTGTTTCCAAGTTGAGAATATTTAAGTCTACAGTGCGCAGTCTCTTCAGAACAATCATTACATTCCATGCTTATCCTAAAATGTTCTTCATATAACAGGAAAAGTGATAGAACCTTCTTTCCTACAGATTTGCGTCATATTTTCACTTATGTTCTGTGAGAATAACTTTACAACATGCAGATTGAATCCTCTTCATTCTTGAAATATTTTCAGTTCCTAGTTGATGTACTTAAGCCCCTCTCATTCCCCTGTGCTCCATTCTAGTATCATCTCCTCTTTTCTTTCATTTAGTGAACAAACAGGACATGTTGCGGGTAATAGTTAGAAGCCACAGGTATGCTGATTTTGCTGACTGACATACTGTGTCAGTAGATCACATACAACTGGTAACTAATGTCAGTCAGCTGCCTTCTGGGGAGTACCGGCTTGCAAATATGTTTCCTCTGTCCAGCTGCTATGTTCTTTTTCCATTACCTTACAGATTTAACATTTTTAGTCTCTTACCTGAGTAAAAATTGGGCAAGATAGACAACTGTCAAGTTCTGTTAAAGCTGAAACTGGCTAGTGGATTGACATCCTACAGGATGTCTCGCTTTCACAGGCAGTCATTACATAAATGCACCATTTGCTGCTGTTCTTAAGAACAAAAGAAAAAAAAACACCTTGATTATTCCTAGACATGTAGTTATCGAGAAAACTTGGTCTCAGTAATTAAGGTAACGAATATTTTAACTATTTTATCTGGAAAAGTTTAAGAGTATTTTTCTTTGCTAATGAATGATCATTTGTCACAGTCAAATTGTTTTTTGAAGTTTAAGTGATTAATATGTATTCTGCAGTCAGTCAGTATACATCTGCATATCTGAAGGTTCTGATATGTATTGTAACTGTTCTGTTCGGTTTGAGGGTATGACAGTAAAATAAGGTTAATGTTAGACTTCAGCACAAAATGTATAAAATATTTCTATTTATAGAAGCTCAGTTCAAGTGATAAACTTAACAGAATTTTTATCAGCTGATGCAAAATTCACTGAACTTTACTTTTTCTGTTGTTGAAAAGAGTGGGAAGTAATATCATATGTAGGGTACTAATTGCTTCCCTTCACATTTTTTTGTTTGGTTATAATCATGTATACTAGGTTATGTCACTCACTCCTTTGCTGAATGTAGTTTTTTTTCTTAGGGGGTAGGGGAATTTAATATACCTTTTGTTTTTCTCAATGTTTATCTCTTCACTTTCTGTTTACATCCTAAAGGATGATGCTCGTCAACTCTTTGTGTTAGCTGGAGCAGCAGAGGAAGGATTTATGACTGCAGAGCTTGCTGGTGTTATCAAAAGACTATGGAAAGACAGTGGAGTACAAGCTTGTTTCAACAGATCTAGAGAATACCAGCTTAATGACTCTGCTGCCTAGTAAGTACTATGTGACATACAAGGCTGTCATTTGTTTTCTAAGTAGCAGCTAAAAGAACTTAAAAGAAATGTAACCTTTTAAGTAATTCTGCTCTCACATAGATGGAAAACCTAGAAATATCTAGCCAAAGATATTGTATACATTTCAGAGTAACTTAGGTTTTAGCTGTGGTACATTGACTCTTACAGAGCTCTACAAGGGTGAAAGTGTTAATGCAAAGAACACTGGTAAATATAGAACCATGTTAAAGTATAGAACTGTGTTTGCTTTATGGGATTTCAGAATACTGTTTCTTTATAGTAGAATCAATTGTGTGAGTTTTCCTCTAGAATGAAAGTGTCTCTAAAACTTTTATTTTAAAAAAGAAGTAGAAAATTATTTTCCTCTTAATCTTTTATCTCAGAGAAAATTGTTCATGTAAAGCATATTGTAATGAATGGACCTAGAACTTGTGTAATTTTTTGCAATTATCTAATTACTATTTTATGAATAACTGAATGCAGTATTTATTTTTACCTCCAGTTACTTGAATGATTTGGACAGGATAGCACAAACAAGCTACATTCCAACTCAACAGGATGTTCTCAGGACTAGAGTGAAAACTACAGGAATAGTGGAAACTCACTTTACTTTCAAAGATCTTCATTTTAAGTATGTAAATTGTTCTGCATGTTCATCTGTCAGCTTTTGTAAAGTTCTCATGGATGGACTTTTAGTGATGCAATTTAACAAATTTGTGTAACCATAACTAATTATTTTATTATCTTCTTTTACTGGAAAATTCCTTGCTGCTTGGATTAGTTTTCTGAAAGCATAAGGGAATTGTTTGAGTTTCTGTAACAACTCAGAACAAATACAGCAATATTAAGTAATAAATGAAAAGTTTATTTTCTGTGTAAATCAAATTTTGAAATATTCAATTTTGTACTGTGTTAACATGTAGCTGTTCTATCAGATTTTTCCCTTTAAATTCAGTTGGAGAGCTGGAGATTTAAAAATATTTGTTGCTTTGGTTATGAAACAGCAAATCCTTTTTTCCTGGAGAGCTGAATTGAAAACTGTCCTTTAGGTTTTTTTTAAGGTAATACTTTATTTACTGATGTAAATTACTGTGACTAAAGTTTCTTCTGACACAGTTTTTTACCAAATAATGCTAGCATTCTAACCATTTTGTGTCCAAAAACACTCATTGTGAAAGTGTAGGATAGTATAAATGTACCACTATTGTGTCTATTCTTTACTAGGAAAATGAAAAAGAAGCTCAGTAAAATTCTCATTGCGTTTATGCTTTAGATTGTGTGGAGATAGTTGTCAGCACATCTATACACATTCTGATTTCTAAAAATAACTAATTGAATCTCATCAAATGCAATTTATCTCACTTATGTGATGCACCAAATGAGTAGGTTTTCTGTCTACCCATGTACATCGCCCCCCACCCTTCCTCCTCTTACAACCTGAGGAAAACAGATAATCAAAGTCAGTTTTAATAAACGTGAGACTTTCCAGAGCCTCTTACCTTTTGAGATAGGGTGAAAGAGGTTACAAAAAATGTTTGTCAAATAAGCCTTCCTCAAGTTTGGGGCTTGGGGAATAGGGAAGCAATCAACTTGTGTAACCTTAAAAGAAAAAACATAACAAGAAGAAAAAAATATCAAAAAGTACCTACAGTACTTACTGTCCTTTTGGCCTATATCACATCTTTTTTATGTGTGCTGGAGCTATGTTGTCAGCTTAAATAATAGAAAGAAGCAGAACATGTGTTGCAAGGTTTAGCTAGCTTTAAAAGACATTAAGTGCTAACTCGTGCTTGCACAAGTCCTTAAATTTGCACAATTGCTGGTAAACCGTTCAGAAACCAACCCATACAGCTAAGTAACAAAGATAAACATGGTGATGACTTGAAGAACCATCTACAGTGCTTTAATCTTAGTTCAGTGAAGTAATTTGTCTTAATATATTGACAGTCACCATGCAGTCACTGTGTAATCTTACCAGAAAAGTCTGTATTATTTAAGTAAATGAAGTGGAAGTTCTTTAAAGCATTTATTTAATGACATCATCTTTCAGATAGGGCATGTAGATTCAGCTCTTATAAACTTTAATTTTTTCAATACTGCTTTGTATTTTTTTTTTGTAGTTCACTGTAGACAGTAACTTACATAAGCAAAATACATTTTTTTGAGAAGCCAAATTGCACTGTGATTTTCAGTATTAAGGCAAAGGACAAGCTTGCACACCATACTCCCATATTGTGAGGAGGAACCTGTAAAGCATCCAAGCTTCTCATTCTTTCAAAACTCTTAGAAATTCATCTGTGTATCAGGCAGCTTCTGTCAGTGTCTTGGTGTGCTGAGTCTGTGACCTACCAGATCTCTGTGTACACAAATAAGGCTTTCATGGTAGTTGCTGACCAAAGTGGATGGAAAAGCTGTCCTCTGTTCTTTCTCGTCTGACTTCTCCTTCCCATATTTTTATACTTACTGAATTTTAAGCTTTTTTTTGGTAATGTCTAAAAAAGTTAAAGTTACTTGGAAAAATTGCAGGCCTCTCTTAAAAGGAATAATTGCATTTCCTTGTAATGAGAAGGAAAAATCCAATATTTGCATGGTAAAATACTGGCTACCATAGCTAAGGAAGGCATATGGTGACCTTTTCACATTGTTTTTAAGCTGAAAGTAATCACAAGAATTTGAGACAAGACTCTTCTTTGTGTGGTAGAAAGGAGACAGATGGAAAAGGGCTGTGTTCTGTTTTGTTGAGTAAATTCAGCAATTTGCATTCATTTTAGGGTAGCACTACTGTCCCCTTATTTGGTTGCATTTTGCTGCTGCTATTTTTGTTTGCTTGGTTGTTTTGTTCTTTTTTTCATGACTGAGTTCATTAAATCCAGAATACTATTTTTCTGGCTTGCAAAATACTTGAAGTTCACTTAATAAAGATGTCTACATTCTGTCTTTCAGATTCACTGTAGCTCAGATGTTAGGAAATAGTCCTTAAAGCATTTAGATAAGAGAGAAAAGCAAATTCATGTGAACTGTGCTAACTTGCTGATCCTCTGCTGTTAAGTTCTCGTATGTGGTCTTTTCCTATCATGTTGTTTCTGATAAGCTGGAATTGAACAGAAACGTCTTTATAGTTTAGTTGTCCCATTTAACTGCATTCCCAAAGAGTTCCTTTATTAGAGGGGAAATTACTAGTCTTGTGTGATGCCTGTTTTGTCTTTTAAGAAGAGAATGTTAAAAATAATATTTAGTGTCACTTAAAAAAATACAAATTCTTTTTAAACACACGCAGCTGAAAAGCTGATCAGACTGTGATTTTGTTTAACAGAGATGAGCTGAAGCTCACAATTTAGAGATGGCTAAATTTGAAAAACTGAGAATTATATTTTATATATTTGGATTCAGAACACAAAGACAACAAAAATATTATTTGTGTACGAGTTTCATAGAGTAGCATTTTTTTTTTTAAGTACTAAAATATAGTGAATTCTGCTCTTACATTTAAAGAATTTTGTATTGTTGACTTTTTATTACTTAGGACTCTTCATTTGGGAAAAATATTGAAGAACATCATGAAAGCTTGCATTTGGTTAAGTTAACTGTACTTTTATCGGTTATACTTTTATCCATTAACTTTGTTAATGGAATTATTTATAATAATACATATTTTTTTTGTAAATAAGCAGATTTATATTGCTTTCATATCACTTTCTCATGAAATGTATAGGAAGACTTCTAAGTCCTAAATAACTTGAAGTTATTTCTTACACTAAGAAATGAAATTGCAATAAATGTTGCAGATTTTATGCTGTTTTTCAAAATTCTGTGATCAGGCTTGCACAGCTGATATGTTCAGATTTTATCACTTAATGTTCAGAAAGCTGGAAAATCCAAAGTTCATTTCCTGCTTTGTATTTCTGTTTTGCAGAATGTTTGATGTTGGAGGCCAAAGATCAGAGCGGAAGAAGTGGATTCATTGTTTTGAGGGTGTTACAGCAATTATTTTCTGTGTGGCATTAAGTGATTATGACTTGGTCTTGGCTGAAGATGAGGAAATGGCAAGTACCTTAATGTTGAAGAAAGGAATAGTTGTTAGAAACGAAGCATTTTGAAAGGGAAGCTAAATACCTCTTTCAGAATAAGAAGCTAAATACTTCTTTTATAGGATACATGGGCTTTTTGTAGAAGTTTTCAGAGAACTGGTGATAGATTTTGTGCTTTCAAGTTTCAAAAATAATTTCTTTATTCTTGGGAGTACTTTGAGATGAGCACTCTTCAGATGTATTCTTTAATATATTTCAAATTATACATAAGCTAATGAGGATGTCAGTAATACATGTCCTTGTCTCTATGGATATTCAAAATATCAAAAAAGTTGTTTTGCTTATCTGTCTCTGCTGTGTTTTATTACTCTTCCTCAGCCTTCAGTTTTCGTTTCTTTATGAATGTTTTACTCTGACCTCTTTCCTTAGTTGCAGAAATCTTTCTTTTCTCTCTCTTTAAATCTCTTTCCGTCCTTTCTCTTCTTTCAAGATGTGACTCCTCATCACACATCAATACGTACAGTGCGTGTGCTTTTCATTATGTGGGTAGTCTAAAGTGATGCTGATCTGTTGTATAAATCATTAACAAGCTGCTGTGTTATTCTGCAGCTTCATGTAAAGTAGTTGGAAGGAAAGAAAAACAAAAACAGGAAAGAAAAACACTTTTGAGTTAAATCTAGTCAAAATAGATCATACCTGCCGTCTACTTTAATGTCTGGAAGTAGTGTCAGAGTACTTACATATTGGATAATCTTTCTACAGTGTTAACATTAGGGGAACATTTTTTTTTAATGAAACCCAACAGCTTTTTCATTTAATTCTCTAGTTCTATAGACCTACTATTTTTTCATTATATTGGAATCTTGACTGTGTACTGAAGTTAATTGTCAGTTTTCAGAATATCTGATAAGTATCAGGCAATTTTTGGTCACTCAGAGTTTTCTAGAATATCATTATTGAAAAACGTGAAAATGCACCAAAAATTCCTAACAAACTAAAAAAAGACTTAAGCCTGGAAATGGAGAAATGGCCTTCAAGATCATCAAGTCCATTGAATTTTATTTGGCCACTGTGTATATCTCTGTGGTAATGTGTGATTCTGCATACTGGAAGCTTAAGTTTTTAAACTTTTCTAGTTGTAACTAATCAAATATATATATTCTGGTTTTACTTCTAAACTCTGATAAAATACAATAAAGTCTGTTTTTTTGTTCGTTTGTTTGTTTTTCCCCCAAATTACAGAATCGGATGCATGAAAGCATGAAATTGTTTGACAGCATCTGCAACAACAAATGGTTCACAGACACTTCTATAATTCTCTTCCTGAACAAGAAAGATCTTTTTGAAGAAAAAATCAAGAGGAGTCCTCTCACTATTTGCTACCCTGAATATGCAGGTATTGGGAATGGACATGTGTCAAGTAATTCGGGGTTAAATTGTCTTATTTTTGATGAACAAATTGGGAGGAATTTGATAACTGTAGGTGTACAAAATATTTAAATAATGTTTAGTTTGTTAGGAAGTTCTTAGGAATGACGAATAAAGGAGTACTGAAGTGAGATTAATCTTCTTAATGAGATTAAATGATGGTGATCTGATAGCGTTTAGATGTTACTGTCATAGTGCTTGTCAACATACTCTGGTTAGCATGTTCTTTATTCTGTATCCTATTGTTTTCTACTCAGATGTATTTTTTTCTTTCCCCTAGCAGGAATCCCCGAGGATACGTGAGGGTTTATTTGAAGGGAGCATATATACATAGATGTTAGAAGAGGTGGCTTGTTCAGGAAATATATAACAAAAGACAATTTTATTTAACAAGGCTTAGGCCTTTTATGTATCATTTTTGTTGTAATTTCAAACTGTTCTTTGTCTGAGGAAAAGAAAAACTGTCAAAAACATGAGAAGTGAAAGTCAGTAACTTGAATGAAGGAATCAAGTATAGTCTATATAATAGTGATAAGTTGTTAATGACGTGCTCCATCTGTCACTGTTACAAATACTCTTCCTGGAGAGCTTTTTATTATTAAAAATTTGTCCAGCTTTCCTTCAACAAGATACACATGTTGTATTGTAAAGTAGTGTCTGTGAAATCATTTAAATCAACATATACTCCTTTTTAGGTTTTAGTGATTGTTGCAGAGTAAGTACTTCGTTCTAAGATACAATGTACATTTAGTTCTTCCTTTTTGAAATCTGCTTACTGAGCAATTCTCTCCTTCTAGGTTCAAACACTTATGAAGAAGCAGCTGCTTACATTCAGTGTCAGTTTGAAGATCTTAACAAGAGAAAAGACACAAAAGAAATCTACACTCACTTCACATGTGCCACGGATACGAAAAATGTGCAGTTTGTTTTTGATGCTGTAACTGATGTCATTATTAAAAATAACCTTAAAGACTGTGGTCTCTTCTAAGAACAGACAAGACATTGTTAAATGGTAAATTATGTGCCTGAAAAAAGGACTTAGGCATTTGGAATAAGCCCATGTTGTGTGAAACTTGCATAGATACACTTAATTCTCTTTATTTTATTTTTAGGTTTGAAGAATGACTTCACACAATTCTTATCTGATTGATTTCAAGATGAAAGATATACAAAATATGTTGTGCTGAATGATAGATCAGTACTGTACTTGCCTGTTTTAACAGCTTTATTTATGTTTGTCTTGTAATTTAAGTAATTAGGTAACACTGAGATGTCTTTTGACTGTATGTAAACTTGTAGTAATGTATTTGTATAAACGTTGAACGGAATACTTTGGTAACTTGTCCTCTAAAATTTCTGTGGTTTATGAAGATACTCTTAGAGGAGACTTTTTGCCTTTTGGTTATTTAAACATCTTGTAAAATTAAATTTTCTTTTCATCTAGAGGGTGCATGCTACTTTATTCTTTACTTTTTGTTGGTAATACTGTATATGGCACTAGCTTTTTTGATATTTAAACAGCTTCATACACCTGCTCAGATTTAAAGAAACATAACTAATAAAACTTGGTTTCTTTGCCTTAAGTTTTGGGGGAAAAAAAGTTTTTTAAATTTAGGTTGAATACAAAAATTATTTTTAAAACTTAAGTGAAATCCACAGCTTATGAAATCTGGATTTGCAGTCTTTGCAGTGCAAATGTGACTATATTGAAAAACTGAATTTGAAGGTTGAAATATCATTGAAGCTCATGGAAATGCAAAAAGGAAGTTGTTAAAAACACACTTGTAGAAATAAAAGAAAAGTTTGAAACTAATCTTTACTCACTGGAGTGAATGGCAGTTTTTTTTTGGACCTTTAACAAAGGCTGGACTTCCGATTAATGTGATTTTTTTCTGCTTAATAATTGAAATGATTTTATCCTTTAACTCTTTGCTATCTTGTGGTAATAAAGCTAAAACTAATTTGCTAATTTAATAACCATAGAAGTATTAGGTTTTCCCACAAGACATGGCCCAGTGTTTAAAGTTTAAAGCAATTTGCTGTTGCTTATTAAGAAGAATCTTCAGTATATTGGGTAGGGTGACTTAGTGACTTGGAAGATGCTGATTCTTTAATTTAGTTGTGTTTAAAGACTCATACTTTCATTTAAAAATAAGTTAAAGAAAATGATTTTCTTCTGGTTATGCTTTCATTATGTGATTTTCAATTTTAGGTATATATCATCCATTGCCTTATGGTTAGTGCCAAATCTGATTTTTATACCTATTTTAAAATGAATAAGCTTCTATTTGTAAATAAGTTTCTGGATGGTTGTCTTAAATGTATGTCTTCTACATAATACAGACGTACCAAACTTGGAAATATGATTTTCTATAATTGTTAGAATATTCCAGGCAGCTACAGTACACTGTAAGTTTTTTGAGAATGATTCTTTGAATCTGTTGCTATTTTTCTATGTTATCTTAGCTTACTGTTCTTAGAAGCATTCAACCAAGATATTAAAATCATTGTTCTGTTATTTAATTTTTTATTGCGTGAATGTTTCATTAGGCCTTAGCTTGAGTAAAACTTCAATGCTTCCTTTGTTAGGTACAGAATTACTTAAACTTTCATTTGAAACACGTTTAGAAAGGAGTTTCTAATTTATTACTGGAGGTTGTTAAATATATTCATACGTTATGAGCTCTTTCAGCAGTTGTAGTAAACAATCTGTATATCCTGGGCTGCTTTTAATTGTGCTTTACAGTTCTGGATACGTAACTGATTTTAAATTTCATTGAATAAGTTTGTGGAAATTGTATTTACACCTACGTTAAAGTTGGTTTTTGTACTTGATGTAAAACAGAATTGGGATTAATCAAATTACATAAATAAATTCAAATTTTGTGCCTTGCTTGAAAGAAATTTTCTTTCTTAGATGTGCTGCATCCGTCCTGTAGACACAACTATGTAGTAAAACAGAGAAGATAAAAAGTCAAGAGCTAATTCAGATGTTTTATGCCAGAAACAAAAATGAGCATAAACTTAAAACTGTTAATTAATTCCTAGATATTCCTAGATATTTTTCCTCAACTACCAATCCTAACATCTTCAATTTCAGATTTTTTAGAATTTCCTAACTGTTGATTTCTTAAATATTAGTGTCTTAACCAAGAACAAAATAGTGAAATAGTTTTGTTTTAAGTCCAAGAATGTGAGCTTTGTCTTTTATGACTTGATGAGTTGACACCTGGTATGTTTCCTTACAGATGCTCTGTAGTGGTCCTTTGTTTAGGTTTATAAATTGCCTGTATAAAAACTTTTCATATTAAAGGCCCAATAAATAATTGATTGCATCTGTTCAAAACTTTCCAAAAGTGGGTTGTTGATAAAAATAATTTATTATACCTAAGCTGAGAACTCCATTATATGTTAAAAATACTATGCAAAAAAAGTTTTTGAATTTTTTTTTTTGATATTCTAAGAATTATCTATATTCATAGCAAGCACTTTAATTTTCTTCTGAATTTGAATAGCTTCATCTTTGAGCCAAATGAGTTTTGCTAATTTTGTTACCTAATAAGACTGTTGATATAAATCCCTTCTTCTTTTTGGGTTGTATTTAGATGATGATTAGATAATTCTAATATGAATGTTTCCAGAGTTACTTTCGACTGATATATGACTTTGCCTGAACTTCATGAGTTTTAGTTACATATTTCTTTAGTATAAGTTTCTGAGGGTCTTGTATAACAGAGTTGATCATTCTTTTTTGTCCTGGGATGAAAGTTTGTCATCCTTATCTATTTGTCTAGGCAAAGCTACAAGAAGACTAAAATGCAGTGGTGGGAGCTACATGCTTAGCTTCCACTCTCATTGTTATAGGGCTCCACTCTATCCCTGCTTGATCAAGAGGCTCCTTCTCAGTTATAGATAACTAAAGACAAGGGAATCCTGCTAGTCTGAGGACAGTCTTGTGCCTCAGCAGTTTGAGCCTCTATTCTCTTCCAGTTTTTCATTCCTTGCATTTTTTCCATTCAAAGTATCCTGACAAACTGCTTTTTCTAGCAGTACCCAGGGAACCTCCTTCTACTATCTCAGAATATTTCTTAAAATTATCTTAAATTATTCTCAGTATATATAGGGAATTACAGCCTGATGGAGGGTTCTCTAACGCCAGGATCTTGTGATCATATTGTGGATTGTTGAAGTCTTGGTATCACACAGCCATGATTAAACTTTCTTTTTAAGAAGATCATTTGTGAGGGAATGGGTTTTGGAACATTTGATACGTGGCTTTATGGTGCTACCTACTTGAATTTGGAATAAGTTTGTCAGCAAATATAGTAACTTTGGTAACCAAAACAAGGTTCAGGATCAGCATGGAAACAGCGTAGTGATTGCTGAATTTCAGTTCCTGTTTCCATGTACACAATTCGCATCTTCATTATTTAAATTCTACATAAAACCTCAGGGGGGAAAAGAGATCAATCTGCAGCCTGCTGAAACAGCATGATTCAGCTGGTAAACATTTAGAATTGGGAAGAGTGAAAAGTTTCTTTTTCAAATCAAGGAAAAAGGAAACCCTACCAAGACACTGACTATCCTACTGTGTGGATGTTTCTTGAAGCTATCATATCTCATATGAATAACTAATAGCCTCTGAGCCAAAAAGTAATAATAAGGTTGAAAATTTCAATTCCATACCTCTTTCATTTCGAAAAATACAACAAGAGGTAAAAAGCTCATCCTTGGATAGCTCAGAGTTTGTGAGAGTGCACTCACAAGGAAGATGAGACTGGATGTTGAGCATCTTATTTACCAGACATTACCTATATCAGAGTGTGTCTGCATTTTTCACAAAAAAATTTAGTTGATGTTATGGGCTCTGAAAAACAGCAATCAAGTTGCAGAAGTGGAAAACAATATTTCCAGCTCTGCATTTACAAGGTACTTGAAAAGAAGCTTCTTTGACAGACAGAACAAAAGATGGTTAAGACCAAGTATGTTGTCAGCAGAAGTCACTGCAGCCCCACAAAACTAGCTGTTGCCAGCTCACTTCTTTATTCTCCTTCCTTCTCTCTCTGTCCATTAATAGAGAATTTTGGGAAGGAGTTTTGCCTGTATGCTTTCATGCTTTTCATGCATTGGTCATGTGAAGGCTGTGCATAATGACTGTGGAATGTCTGCAACAGTGCTGAAGGAATACAATGAATGATCAGTGTGCTTAAAACTGCACAAGTGTATTTTCAAAAGCATGAACAAAAGTCTAGGAAACAAACCTGAGCACAGTAAGGATTTGTGAGGGTAGTTAAGTTTCTGAAGTCAGACGCAGCCTGATCAGATCATTGTGCAGTGTGACACAGCTCATACCTTTTACAAATAAGTGCCCTTATAACAATATAGTTTTAATCCTCCATTCTAGTAAACATGTTAATGCTAAAGACATTTATTTGTTAAATACTACGCATTGAAATGTGAGTGTGTTTGGTTTAAAGTGGCTTTTAGATTCTGCCAGTATCTTTCCTAGCCAAGTTATGTTGCTTTGGCTTTAATGTCTTCAGCTTAATTCTCTATGAAATTGTCAGTCTTTGGTTTCTGACTCTAAAGGATGGAAGAAAGTCATAAACTATATCATCTGCTGAGACTAAGAGAACATTTTCAAGATGTAGTCATGGAGGCATAAGAGGAGACTGAGATTCTGGGGGAGCTGTAAGGAAAGTACTCTGTGATGAACTTCACAGCTGTATCCAATATTTGAAGAAAGCAGCTTTGGGAGAGTGATGTGGTATAAAGTTGCATCTGCTTTTGTTGAGTGGAGCTCTCAGTGTTCAGTGTGAGGGATAGACTGAGGTATGTAGAGTTGCTCAGCTACGTACCTGTTTCCCAGATGAGGTTGTCAGATGCATGTGCATTAAAGCCAAGGAAGCTGATCTTATAAATATTGAGGAAATGCCTTTCTGCATTTCAGTCTAATGTTCAGGGTATTTTTGAGCCTGAAAAGTTTTGAGCTGCCTGCTACATGTGAGGGACGTGTCACTGCTGGCACTGATACTTGCTTAGGGCTTCTCTCCAGCTTGCCAGAACTGCGCAGTCAGGAACAAAGAGCAACTCAGCAAAAAGCAGTACATGAAGTGCATAAGAGGCCCCTTCATTTGCTGCAGAGGAAGCGAGAGGACGCTCCCCAGACAAGTGAGTGGAGATTGTGGGGGGAGCTGCTCTTCTGGTTCTTGATGGTGTCTTTGAATGCTTTCAAGGCTTAATGCAATTTTACAGGAAGTGATGGCAGCAGGAGAAAGTTGGTGTTTTATACACTGTATCTTGGAACATTATGTCCTATCCAGATTCTTAGCCCTTGAAGATGAGTTTTCCTCTAGCTAAAACCCATGCCAGAAAGTAAATTGCTAATGCTGCAGAGTGTAGTGTGCTAGTCCTACACAAGTTTTTTTTCACAACCAAAATTTTTAGTGGTATGGAATTACAAAGATGATCTAAATGATAAATCTAAAGGCTGTTAAATGAGTTGTATAATATTCTAATATTTAATATTAGAATATTCTAATTAATATTTTAATATTTAAAGTGTGGAGATAAGTGAAATACCTTATCCCTCATTTTTCCCCCACTAATTCTGTGACAGGAGGGTTAGTGGAGCACTCAGAGGCTCAGAGCACTCAGAGGGGAAAGTAATGGAGCAAATCATCTTGGGGGAGATCACACGGCATGTGTGTGGTGTCCAGGGGATCAGGCCCAGCCAGCACGGGTTCATGAAAGGGAGGTTGTGCTTGACCAACCTCATCTCTTTCTATGACTGGGTGACCAGACTGGTAGATGAGGGAAAGGCTGTTGATGTAGTCCATCTAGACTTCAGCAAAGCCTTTGACACGGTCTCTCACAGGCTTCTTCTGGGGAAACTGGCTGCCCGTGGCCTGGACAGGTACACACTACTTTGGGTAAGAAACTGGCTGGAGGGTCGTGCTCAACGGGTGGTGGTTAATGGAGTGAAGTCCAGCTGGTGACCTGTTTCAAGTGGTGTCCCCCAGGG